GGAMTCTCAGTGGCACTAAAATTCCTCAGTACCTGGGATCAAATGAAAACAATGTAATGATCAAAATGTCTTCTCTTCTGGTAGTATCTGTTGCCTAAAACTGCCTAAAAACATTTAGGAGAGGGAGCTACTTTTTTTCCCTGCTGAAGTAGATTGCTCTGCATGTGCAAARTACAAGGAGAGAATGATTCCAGGAAACTTCACTCTCACTGCAAGGCCTAGCACTTTGGGCATRTTCATCTGTTCTAAGGTTTGTTGGGGATGTTTGCCTTTCAGATCTGTGTAAAACATCTCTCTTCCTTCATGTCACCCAGCACAGAGGAAGAGAGGAGGTTCTTTTAACTCCACTACGTGAACTGATTTCTGCAGAGACGTTCTTCCAACCTCTCCTGGGTGTTTGAGTTGTAAGTTTGAGGATTGATTTTTAAGTTTTAAATATTAATATGRGGGATAAGAAATCTAGCATTTGAACCTATTGTTTGGATAACATCATCTGGGTCATTTGTTCAGTGAAGGTAACTGTAAACACAGAAAGCCACAGGCATTACAGATCCTGTGTGAAGTATGCACATTTATCAGAACATAAACTTATCTAATCACAAGTGCAAGTATTACATAATAAAGACACCAGACATGATCCAAACATCAGAAATTATCTCCATAAATATAGCACACAGAGCCTTGGCTCTTGTATGAGCTGGAGAACGGTGTGGACAAAAAGACTCGATATTTTTGAAACAAACACTGAATTCAAAAGCCATGCTGGGATTTTCAGCCCTCAAGCAGGCAGCACTCAACAGTTTCAAAGCTGAATCATTACTCCACCTCCCCCATTAYATTTTATGGTCTCATCTCTGGTATTCGTCTGGTTTTCCAGTCTGCTTAAGATCTTTCAAGCACAAGTTGAGAGGTGCTAGGAGCTCATAAAGTGTTGTTTTGATTTATGGCTTTGTGCAATATTAAATAATAAATAAGCAAGAAGCTTAAAATAATGTGCTACCAGGACCCTGGCCTCCATAGTATTTTCCACTCAATAACTTCTAGTACAAATTTTCCACTCACAACACAAAACCTGTAAGAAGAGCTGCATTATTGTGCACAACCATAAATTTCTTCTGAGGTAGCAAGACCAACCAAACTCATACAAAAACACTGCAAAAAAAWTCTAAACATAAGGATAAGGCTTACATTTTTTCCACTTGTGTTCTCCAACTTKAATTTATATCACTGCCATCCTCCTCCTGGCCAGCATTCTGCATCAGGAACATAAGGTTGGAAAGGATGTAGGTACACATAAGTCTCCTCAAAGGATTCCTGGAGTAACCTTTTTGATAATTTACAGTGATGATGCCATCACAGCTCACCAACTTCAACAACACTGTGTGTTGCTCAGAGGGCCAGTACAGGACAAATCCCTAAGGTCCTGGAATGTCTGAATACCTGATGTTATATTTTCGAGGACAG